GCCTGACGTCGTATGGCCCAGCGTCGTCTGCCAATACGCTAAAAATTTTTACACCACCCGGACGGAGCGCGCCGGAGCCGTCCGTATCTGTCCCGTGTGTTGAATCAGCCTACGGTCGAACGGCTACGCGTCGTACGACGATAAATTTTGGAATAGAACTATGCTATCTGAAACCTAACCTCAGATGATGTGAACTAAAAGTTACGTAATTTAGCGAAGCTGTAGAAGTCGCTCGTCGAAGGACGATAGATTTTGGAACAGAACTATGCTTTCTGAAACCTAGCCCCAATGCTGTGAGCTAAAAGTGACGGTCTGGTTGTGCACGGCAGGATGCACACAGTTCCACTGGCGACCTGGGCTGGTTGGTCACAGTCCATTGTCCGCAAGTTACAATTCGAGTTAAAGTTAGGGTAGGATATGAAGTGATGATTCAATGCAACATTCAGTCATCAGTGTCAGTGTGTCACTACACATCATGAGAGACTGCTTACAACGTGAAGAGTAAGCATCAGCAGACAGAAGAGTGCAACTGAAAGTGAGAAGATGAAGTCTTTAATTTAATAATCATTGCTGACTTGCTGAGTCCAGCCTGTCCAGGTGTTACAAGTGGTCTGTGCTGGACTTCTTCGTCACCTACAACCTGTCATCATCATCAGTCATCAGTGGTGTATGAGGAATATAAATTGCTCATACAATCGGACAAAAATGCAACCTTTATAGAGCCAAATTTTATTCATGAACATGTCCCAAAGGTATTGGAGAGAAGGCTTCCAAGATTTTGGTTGGAATGATTCTTGAAGTGCAGAAACTGGTTACCCTAGGACCTAGGTGATCAAGTTCCTGAAATTTGAAATGCCCCAAAGTCCCATATAGTTTTTTTTATCATATACTGCAACAAAGAAATTTTATCTTTAAACGGTGAGTTTAATACTCTAAAATTCTGTCCTATCTAAATCAATTTATTAGCTAACCATTTCAAATTGAATCAACATCCTATGCACGGAACAAACCTAAGATTTTGATGCATCTCAGTGGTTAACTGCTAGAAGATGGTAATAGGAAATAAAGGCGAATTTAGTAAAAGATGGGTACTCCAGATTCCAGAACGGACCAGACGGAAGAAAGCAAAGAATCCTAGTTAGAGTCTTAGAGATTTCAACTTTTGAAAGTAGGGAAGCCGTAAGTCAAAAGCAAAGGTAGCGGGCTCCTTTGCAAACTTAGAGACTACGCTCTTAACCGAATCTGAACATTTGAGGTAAATCTTGACTCAGTTAAGTGTCTGGACTCTGGAGTACAAGGCGCGGTTAAACCGACTCTTTAGTCAGCACGAGTGCCTACGGAACGGGACCTTATTTAAAGAATTATTGGCTGAAATTCATAAAGTAACAAAATTTGGAGAATTTTTCCAAAAGTCGTAACATAAGTAACAACATAGATCTAATAAGCAAAAAGTAACACTTTTGTTACGAACGTAACACCTCTGGCTAGAGGCGGGAAACTGATGCGTTGTGAAAAAAAAGTCGCGCTAATCGAAACTGGCACCGCGTAGATTAAGGGTAGGTCGCAAATTTTTTTTCCGCGTTAATCAAAACCGCGGTATTCAAAACCGTGCTAATCAAGGGATTGCTGTACATAAAGACTATGAGAGGCAGGAGCCAGCAATTTATGGTGAGTGAAGCTAGAGTATAGACCTGTATTTTGCATGTTTCAATTAAACTTTAATTTAGCTAGTAAAAAAATGGCATCATTTATAAAAAAAAGTGGTCTAAGTTACTCCATTTTACTGTACTGAATACAGCTCCAAAATACAACATTTGAACACAACACCAAGAACAATCAGAAACCATTTGAACAATTCTAATAACTATTAACAAAATCGTTAATGGTGGGAAAAATTTCCCACTGGTGCATAACAATTACTCTCTGGGCTATTCGCTTCAGAATATGGTGGTGTTAAGCTCCTAATATTTAAAGCAAGATGATGTCGCGGGTTGGTTACCGACGGTTGGCTTAATCTGCAGCTGATTGGTGGTCATAAGGGCGTTCCTTTCAAGGCTGATTGGTGCACAAATTTGGTGGTGCACGGCTGCGTACCCTCAGAATGGGGGGTACGCAGCCGTGCACGACCAAATTAGCGCACCAATCAGCCCTGAATAGAACGCCTAACATATTTCCGGAATCCGGATCCAATCAGCCGCAGATTAAGCCATCCGTCGGTAACCAGCCCGTGACATCATCTTGCTTTAAATATTAGGAGCTTTACTCAACCACATTCTAAAGCAAATAGCCCAGAGAGCAATGGTTTTGTACCACTGAAGACTGAACATTGCATCGAATCATCACTTCATACCCTGACTTTAGCTTGAACTGTAACTTGCGGACAACGGACTGTGACCAACCACCCAGGTCGCCTGTGGGGGTCGCCTGCCGAAGACCACAACTGCCCTGGATGTAATGGACCATCATAATTCCTGCCTTCCAGAATGTAGCCTTCAACACTTCAAGCCGTCTGTATCTAGGCCATGGGTCTAAGAATTTCATTTTTGTTAAAAAATTCACATGAACAAAAAAGGAATTAATTTCTATTCATTTTTATTGAAAAATTCACACAAACAAAAAATGTATTAATTTCTGTTTTATATACATGTGTGTGCCAAGTTTCAAAGCAATCCATCTGTAAATAAGGGTTTTTTAGGGGGTATACAATCCCCTTAACCCATAATTAGCACATGGTAAAATCTGGGCTAACTTCTTTCAAGATTTGAATTTGGGTACCGTTTTTAAGATTAAAAAGTTGATTCCTACAGTTTGTTAATGGTGTACCTGTAAATTTACATTTACTTTTTACACCACTCTCAAATAACACTCTGGTAGCCAGGGGTAGTATTTGAGCTATACGTGAAGGGAGCGCAGCCATGCACCACCAATTTTGTGCACCAACAAGCCCTGAATCGAACGCCTTGGATCTCTCTGGACATCGACAAATCAGCCGTGCACCACTCGGTTTTGTCCTCTTCCAGCCTTGAGTCCTTGACTACCACCTGCCGTGCACCACCAGGCCACGGATCAAATCTGACTTCCGGGCATCGCTAAATTACATAATTTTACGTTCACCGCATCTGAGGTTAGGTTTCAGATAGCACAGTTCTGTTCCAAAATTTATCGTCCTTCGACAAGTGGCCGTTCGACCAGGGGCTGGTTCGACCCACGGCCTAGATACGGACGGCTTGAAGTGTTGAAGGCTACGTTTTGGAAGGCAGGAATCATGATGGTCCATTACATCCAGGGCAGTTGTGGTCTTCAGCAGGCGACCCCACATGAACTGTCGTCTGCCGATGATGTTGCACACTCCACACTGACAGTAGTCTGACACTGGCAACAGTGCGCAGGCCACAGCCCACGGGTACCATAAGTGACTAGGACTAGCTGACTAGGACTCCTAACTTTCTAAGTCCTAGTCAGTTAGTCCTAGCCACTCACTGCCCTAGTCACTTATTAGCCTCATAGTCTAGGAGTAAGGCTAGGAGCCAAGACATTAAACTTTATTTACTATTTTTTAACACTGTGACTATTAAGTCCAGATTGGCAGACTCCATACCTCAAATGTTCATTGTTGTTCAATGTGTGCAAATGCAATATCATGAATATTGCAATGGTGCAGCTGCTGCAACACAGGCTTAAAATTTTCCTACTTGTTTCTGAAATCTCACAACTCCAAAGTGACATATTTTTAATACATTTGGAATCGTGCTCTTTTGTTAACAATTGGATAGGAGGTAGCCTAGTTCATCTCAGGCATGGAATATATACTTGGTGAGTCATGACTGAAATTTTTGAGCCAGGGTTTTATGGATTTGACAGTCTTGATTCCATTTATTTGAGCTGTGATTCCATTTTTTGAGCAGTGAATTCTATATCTGGGCCATGATAAGCCATTTACAAGCCAGAAACTTGTATACAAAGTCCCTGTACGTGTTACCTTAAATTTTTAATTTTACCTGAAAACAATCAAACGGCATCAATAACATTTGTCTATACTGTAAGCTGAGTAGCTGAACATGTGTTAATGCAGTCTGACCGCTCTGATGTGATCGCAACTATGCGTGATCTTCAATGAAACGAATCATTCAAGTTGACTTGCAATCATTACAGTGACTGCATTCTGCAGGATATTTTGGCTGGAACGTTAAAGTAATGCAGATTGCAGAAGTTGAAAATTTTATGAAATTACATGATTGCAAAGTGCAAACCTCGATTTTTTTTTCAATTGTATAAAAATGCATGACAGTAGAGCCGTGAGATTTCATACCTACTAAAATTGTTTGATGTTAGAGCTGTGATATTTCAGAAAAAAGTAGGATTCCCAACCTGATACATCTAGCGGAAATCTCGCGGTTCCAGAAATGGTGGGAAACATCTAGCCACAGCTCTAAAGGTGCTCTAAAGGTAGATGTTTTACATGCTTGCTGCAGCAGAGTGAGCAGACTGGACCCAACTTTCATTGCTTGCAGAACTTAGCTGAATGACGGTATGGTGCTGTATAGTGGCAAAGCAAAGAGTTTGTAAGACTTTCCCTCAAGGCTCAAGTTTATTTTTGAGTCTTTCAATTAGACCAGTAAATTATCATGGATGCTTTCATCAGCATGCATAAGAAATTGGTTTAAATCTTGAGTAAATGAGGAAATTAAAAATGAACCGATTCTAAAAAATTTGTGGTTTGTCACTATGGACTGATAAATTACCTTTGATGTTTAATCTTATTGTGAAGGCAACTAAAGGGCATTAGCAGTCCCTGATATTGCAAATGTACTGAAAATTTTTCACTTTGTCTTTGGTCAGTTTGGATGCACAAGATTTTAGCAGTAGATATAGAAATTCCATTCCTGAATTATTATACATAAATTGATTAGTATCAATAGTACTGTACACCAAGTTCACTGCCCCAAGCCCAAAGATGTCAAAGTAAAATTTTTTATTTCTAGTGCTTTGTATTAAATTAGACAACTTTTAAACAAGATTAATTACAAATGAAATTGTAGAGCATACAATATGTTTTAATTTTTGGGACAAATAGTTGAAACAAAAACTTTATTTAAATTAATTTATTCTTCCTACTTCTAGTTAGTCAGTGAGTTAGTTTTGCATTCAAGATACTTTGAAGAAAGTTGCAATGAGTAGCTTGGGCCTTGGCAAGCAACATCAGCAACAGTCTAATCTGCAAAAACCCAGTCTATTGGACAAGTCATTAAGTAAAGGCAAGAATGAAGTGAGCCTTACTGCTTTTGCCTTGCTCTTCTCAGAGATGGTCCAGTACTCACACAATCGAGTCTCAAGTGTCAATGAACTCCATGACAAGTAAGGTTCTATCTTTTAACTTGTATTAATTTTTATTCATATTTTTGCATCCAAATAAATTAGATTGGCAGAAAAGATAATAAAATGTATACATGAATTTATTTCTTTTTACCTGAGAGTCAAAAGGTTTCTTGATGAGTTTTTTTTATCACTATGCATACTAATACGTACACAAGAATTTATGGAGTGTTTTGTTTGTGAAAATAAATTATTTCCAGCCGTCAACTTTAAATTTTCAGATTATTGATGATGGTATAGGTAGTGATGTAGTACCACTAGAGGTGACAGAGAAAATAAAGTACTCCAAAATCTATCTATGTCTGTTCATAAAAAATCTTTAAAATCAGCCATTCTTCTGTTTTGTGGTAGAATACTCTCTTGAAATTTTTTCAATGATTTTTGTTGCAATCTTGTAGTGTAATTAAATTTTTTACTGCTACCAGGGGTTATTAAATGACTTTATTGTGATATCAATGCATTACATTAAATGCTTTCAGGCTATCAGAGATGGGAGAGAGAGTTGGGAGTCGCATGGTGGAGTTGCTGTTTGTACGGGAACGTGGGAGCAAGCGAGAGACCAAGCTACTCAACATTCTGCTCTTTGTCAAGGGCACCCTCTGGAAGGTGAGTGTTCTTCTCTATTGTTTATTGAATTCATGATAATTTTGTGCTGAATGCTTACCATTGACTTTTTGCTTTAATTGCATTGGTGGGAAGCAAAAGTGCTGTTTTACGTGTGGGAATATTCATAAAATTTGAGTTACTAGTACTAAACCTTTCCAGAACAATCTGTGGCGATCTCAAAAACTTATGTTTACAGGGGGCATAGCCAATCTTTTCAAGCATATTCACTCACCCTTCTGAACTTTTTCCTGATTTCACTCTAATGCGTCTGAATAAAAAATTGACAAAAATTGCTCTGATTAATAACTGATAGAAATTTGAGGGCCCCAGAACTTTGGGCATCAAACATACCCAGTATATATAAACCTTTACCTAGTAATTTTTAAATTTGAATTGCCAGTTCCATTCTGAGACATGTAAAATCACTTATTGAAGCGTGTTTCACTCCTGCTATATAATAAATATAAATAATAATAATAAGCTTGAATAATAAATAATAAGCTTTATGATAATTTCTTGACCCAACTCTTCACTCCAAAGCAGTGTCAAGTTTCTCTAACTTTCTTGCATCATAGTCTACATTTTTCTATTGAAGTGCCTTGTTCATAGTCTTCGTTTAGCCTCTCATCCCATTTGTTACTAAACCCTGTCTGTTGTTTCAGAGTTTGTTTGGCAAAGAGGCGGACAAGCTGGACCGCGCCACGGACGACGAACGTGTGTATTACCTCATGGAGAAAGAACCGCTAGTGAATACCTACATTTCTGTGCCCAGGGACAAAAGCTCCATTAACTGCGCTGCTTTCATATCAGGCATCATCCAAAGCGTTCTTTCTGCTACTGGTTTTGTGAGTAATCAAGACGTTAATCTTTTATCGTACCCACATGAGCAATACCTCGATGTTATGTAACGTTTAATAGCAGCTCTCTGTATTCATTAGGTATATCTCGGCCGTAAACTTGACACATAGAAGTGAAGAGACTTCGACCAAATAGAGATGCACTTTTGCTTCTAAATAGCGTATCAGTGATACGTACAGGAAGCGTATCTCTATCTAGACAATATGATGCATTCATTATTTTTAGTGTGATGGTTTGGAATGATACATAGATTGATGTAGGCAGCAAAGAAGAGCAGCATTCGTCTTTGTATGCATGGAATCCTCGAAGATTAATTTCGTGTAAATATTGTACCAGTAACTGGAAGTTTTGGAAGATATTTGGGTTGAATAAATAATGTAGAAAAGGTTTTGAAATTCAATGAGGAACTGGGCTCGGATGTTGAAGTCCTTAAAAGAAAATTGGTATAGGCCTTAATTTTCAAAGTAAGTTGGTTTTACATATCTTTATATGTAATCAATATTCCTAATGATATTAAAATATAATATATTGGCCGTGCAGCCTGCGAAGGTGACGGCGCTGTGGCACAAGGGCACCACCTTCATGATCAAGTTTGAAGATGCCGTTGTGGCGCGCGATAAGCAACTGGAAGGCAGATAATCTTCACATCTCTTCATTCTACGTAATGTCTAGTGGAAATGTGCGTTAGTATTGAGTTAGTTTTATTGAAACTATTGAGACAGAAAGAAAGCACCTCAACACTTATTTGTATCGAAATTATTTATTTTATTAGGATTATTAGTACTATTATTATTAGTATTAGTACTAGTATATTACTAGTAGTATTATTTTCAGTTGTGTTATAACCTGATATAGGTATATTTAAATGGATGCACAGTAGCATAACTTTTATTATCAAATATTGTGCTGTATCCGCACTTGATTATTTATTGTATTTATATTATATCGATGTTTTAATCATTCTTGATCTCTTGCATGACTGCCATGAGGTAGATGTTTGTTTCCATTCCTGAAATTTTCATCCGATTGACACATTAATTGCGATACGATATAGTTACGATTGACACATTAATTGTTAATAAAGTTTTCTGTCTTGCTTAGACTGCCTCGCTCCGTCTCAAACGAGTAATTATTTCATTAATTTTCTTGAATATCAAATTAAAAGAGGTGGAGAAAATGCAAAATAAAATTAATTAAACGATGAAAATATGGTAAGTAATTTTTGTGTCTGTTTAAAATTCGTGGTTCCTTCTCGATTATTTACAATTTAGTTCATTGTTTTCTCTGTACGGTCATATGTGGATTGATCCTTGAGTTGTTTTTTCGATCTAACGAGGCGTTATAGTTGATATTTTTCATCGGAAAATTAATTTTCATACTTTATTGATGTAGTTCCTGAAATAAATAGTTCTGAAATATATTATAAGCGATATATTAGACTTTAAAATTTAGCAAAAATTCTGTACATTAATACACAATAGTTTGAACATATAGGTACATCAATAATAATAAAAATACTGAAATTGTCTAAGAATCAACAGAAAAATTTTTAATTTCAGTTGTGGAATTCATGCGAGTATTCAAAAAGCTTTTATTAATCGTCCTTTTAATTCTATTATTTTACTCGTATATTATTACTCGGAGTAATAACGTTGCAAAACTTGAGGAAATCGGCATAAATTTTCAATATACAATGGAGTAAATCTTTGTTTAATTATCATTAAAATAGAGAACTAGACCATACGATGTACTGGATTGTCTTACGTGGATATTTCATGCCTACTACCAAATGAATTCTGATTCTCGATTGAAATGCGAGCTTTGCTTCGGTTGTAGAGCGATTTACCTAAAGGCGGTGACTTGCCATCATTCAAATAGACATGATGAAATGGTTGACTACTCGTTAACTCTTTTAGAACATAGAATTTGTGTTCTCATGGCGGTTGTGCTGCATTTTGTGTTAAAAACCCTCAGATAAAACATTATTTTAGTAATGAAGTTTTGCAGTGTCTTAGAAATAACCATTTCCTTTAGATCTTCGTGTCCTAAAATACCATCTGCTTTGAAGCAATAATCATCAATTTGTAAGAAGAAATGACATTTCGAAATTCATTCTGAATTAACGGTGCATAATGTTGGAACTCGCTCGCCATTCGTCTCGCCGAGGGATCACAGGGAATGCCTGAAATGCAGCCGTCAAATATCTTGGTGTTGAGAAGACGATATTAAACGTAGCGTCGACGCGTCTTCTAAGACAGAACCGCAGCAAGCGTCTTGTGATTAGGGAGTCAGACACTCGAGCTTTGACCAATACTTGATAGATCTGATGGCGGCCATATATATGGTGTATGTGTCGGAGGCCGTCTGTACTGAGCCAGGTCTAGTTCTGCAGGAGGCGTTGGATCTGTCTCTAATTTGGAAGCATTTTAGTCAATTTTCAATCATTCATTTAGAGTTCAAAAGAATATATTCATTATTGGTGTAAATTTCATGTATATTGCTATGTACCATAGCCCTTCATTTATATTCTCTATGAACGTGAACTCGCTGCTACGAAAATTATAAGTAAAGTTTACTTAATTACTATCATTAACTTAGTAGTCATTGAAACTAAAGTTAGTAATGACGAGGAAGCTATTTTTTATGAAGTATTAGTCAGCGCGGACATTTCATGCTTGAGTTATTCTCACTTTTGAATTTTGAAACCATACAAACACTGAATACATCTTAATTTCCAATTCTAGCCTAATTATTACTGTCAAATATAATTCAACAAAATGTGGCGCTAGCGAAGCCTCGCGATCAGCAAGCTACGCGTCCCAGGCCATAGCTATTCTATTCCACGGCCACTTACTTCGACTGCATGGCCTTCATTGACAGATACTGAAGTTCTTTGTGTCATCAGCTGACAGGAATATTTCCTGGATTTATCTGATATGAATCATGCTAATTTTTCTAGCGGCAACCCGACTCATGAGTATCTCATTTAATGCCAAGTTCCATTGTTACTCGATAAATAACGTGGCTCGTGCCGCGCTATCCCATAATTACATTGTTCGATATTTCCGATCTAAATTAGCCTGTTCTTGAAGGCTTATGTAAATAGCATAAACGAGAGATATAATTGCCAAAAATTTGAGCGCTATCTACTTCTGAATAAATATTCCGTTGTATTTGCAAATTCGTACTATGAACTTGACAATTTAGTCACATCAGCTGGTCTTGACCAACTGGCAGATGGCGAAATTAAAGCCACTACCCATTGTGAGCTGTTCTAATAAATGATCTTTCATTTCATTACTACACTGCTCTTACAATGTTAATATTCAGAAATGTTTAAAATAATTCGATTGCTCGATCAATGTATCGAATTTGTTGACGACATCAATTATGATCATTCGAGAACTAAACGCATTAATTTATTCTATAAAATTTTGTTTATCTTTCCCAAGAAATGCTTTTACTGAGAGAAGGATTTGGTTAAGATTTATGCTTTTTAGCGATGACAGGAAAATGGCTGATAGTCGTGGCCTTGCTGCACCTCAGCGCCGCCTCGCCAGCCTCGCTGCCTTCACACAGCACCAGCCTCGCCCTCACGTATCCTCAAATTGTAGAACCTCTGGCAGAAAATGTTGTTGTGGTATCTGATAATACTCTAGATCCACAGGGTTTTGTCCTAGAAGTTGGACAACAGGAAAACAAAATAGCATTCCTAGTTCCTGCAAAAATTTTACCCCGACGGACGCACTATCAAGCTAGACCGTTCTCGATAGAAAAAGTCTCCTCCGTGTTATCGAAAATAGCCTTCGAAACAGAATATATAAAATCATCGGCATTTTCAATTCACACACCGCTCAATGGCGAAATATTTTCTGAATCAAACCAAAATGATGAAAGGGTTAAGTTGCCTGAGCTGGAATCATCAAATTTCATGACTGCTGCCGCGGACATCTTGAAGGAGCGCTGCGACCACTCCTTGATGATGGAGGCCGTTATTGAAGTCATAAAACGAACTCCCGTGAACCACCTCACCGCAATCGTTCAAGATCATGATACTGGTGAGTCAGTAATTACACTGTTGTCTTTGCAAACAATTCTATCCATTATTGTTCAAACTTTGATGCAGTTTTAGCAGTTTATTCATTTATATACATTCGGTTTTGGCTGTGTTTTTTTTATGAGAGAAAAATTGCTTTACCTTTTTACGGGAGATTTTGATTTTAAATTTTTAGAAAATTTTATTCTTAAATTTTAACTAAATTTTCCTGGTACTATAAATGTTTTAGCTATTGTCCTGTAAATTTTAAGTAAAAATATCGACCGGACACGCGTGCATTTTTGGCGCGAATATATGAGTATATATTATTCTAAAAAGCTGAAATTTATTGAGATTAAAGGCGATAAAACCTAATATTAAAGACTTGATGGTATTGGTGGATCTATTTCATTTTTTGACGGTTTAAATTATTAATTTTGTGTGTGGTGCTATATGTGCGTGTGTGAGAGATACTTAAATATTTGTTCCAAACACCGTGGAGTTTTACATCCATTGATTCACTATTCATGTTGCGCAAAGTTAGTAGAGTTAACTAGTTGTTATGAGATACAACCTACATAGTGACATTATAATCTCGGTCTTCACAATCCCATTAATGAGATGTAATGGTTTCGTAAAATATCATAATTTTTGGAATAATTTTGTTATTATTTGCAAAGCCTGACTTTTGCACGCATCATCTAAAAGGGTAAGTATTGCAAGAAAAACGTTTACGCTTAAGAATTATAACACAAGACACGAATATTTTATTAATTTGCAGGAAAACAGTATCCGTCTTCAATATTAATGAAATGTACAATATAGAGATTATGACACGAATTACGTGAAAAAAGAGCGAAATACGTTTCAACGTATGCTGAACTAACAAATTCTGAGACTTATTCAAGAACGTCTCAATGCTTACCTATTAGATGTTAAATTTGACAATAATATGTACAATAAATATGACGGATTTGATTTGTTTATATCAAATATAAATAGAATATTTGTCAGCTGGGAACTTGCTACACTTCTTCAGCATGCACAATGTGGCCTCCAGCTTCTTCGTGCCGCAAGTGAACGTAAGTAACATAACATTTGAACATAACAACCTTTGATCACAATAACATTTGAACATAACAACCTTTGATCACAATAACATTTGAACATAGCAATATTTGATCACAATAACATTTGAACATAGCAATATTTGATCACGATAACAGTTGAACATAATAACTTTTAAACAAAAAAACATTTGATCACAATAATAGTTGAACATAACAACATTTTAACATAGTATCATTTAATATAAACTGACAACGCCAATAAGTCGATGGATACTTTATTTACTCACTGTTACTTTATTTACTCACTACTTTGTTATCACTGCATTAAAGTCCTGTATTTTTCATAATTAATAGTTTCCTAATACATTTTGATACTGTTGATATTTCATAGTATTTGGATCGTCATTAGGTTTCCATACAAAATGCTGAGTGCGCAGACTCATCTTCTTAAGTATTTCAAGATATTTTGTGTAGATTAACGCTCTAACTAACCTGTAAAATGGATCAAAATGAGCTGTTTTGCAACGCTAAATAATTATCATGGCATCGATATTTAATTAACGGCCATTAGTCAGGGTGATCACAAATGGTCTTATAATAAGTTATGAACACGTTAGTATTTATAGTATTTAAAGCGTATAGTCTATTTCGTGCAAAGACGGTTATAGTGGCTAGTTGTTAGAACATCTAGAATTATTGTGTTCTACTGACTGTAACTCTAGTTAAGTGATATCTTAATTCGTACACCATTCCAAGCATTCCAATTATTACCAAATAATGAATATGACCTCGAAACTGCGTGTGCGGTAACCCAACCGACTGTTACAAGCAGGACGAACTGATGAGTATCACGAGCGCGGCCCCGACATCGGACCCTTACTTGGCGTACTTGGAGTTCGTGGTGTGGGGCGATGTCGACTTTGTCGCTCGAATTCTACGCAAAGTATGGCACTGTCAATGTATACCTTATATATTAACGATATTCGATATATTGAAACAAATAATAAGTAAATTGTCAATAAAATAAATCCACTTTAATAAATTTGCAATGAAACCTGCTTAAAGGAACAAATGCTGCCATCCTATACTAAGATCCCGTAAATACGCATTTTATCGAATCGATTAAAAATTGATGGGCACAAAAATTTCGAATTATAGGAATTTGCTGAGTAAGTTGCATTCACTTGCTGTGTTTCATCATTATTTTAGGTAAGTTTGGCTTTAAATTCCCCCAAATGGGGATTATGAGCGTTATTAATTTTTTTTTGGAATATGTATAACTAATTTTTATGTTCACAGGTTTTGTGATCATTGTTTACATTACAACGAAGACAACTGTAAAAACTGTAATATAGTTTGGCAAAATTCAACTCTGTACACGAACAGAAACTTGTTAATAATCAACTATATATACATACATGATTTATTATT